AAGAGACACACACATGGACTTACACACACACATGGACCCACGCACACACATCGACTTACACACACACAAAAAGATCCCCATATAGCCTGTAACAGACTGTAGGGGCAAGTGCTGTTAGCGAGCACCTATGAAGGCCGGAACGATACACGAGGGGGTGGGTGGCCAGCACCACGCCCGACCGCCTTTGTCTCCCTAGTGGCGATATTTACACACCGCACCAGGTACTCATTTGAGGCTGAGTCGACCTAGGGAAGGCCCGGGATCGGTTCAGATAATCGTCACTGGTGTTGGCCGTGAGCAGGAATCGAACCCGGGTCGCCAGGTTCATAGCGCAGCGCGCTAACCGCTACACTACTGCTCCCCACTACACACACACACACACGGACTCACACACACAGACATGGATTTTAGATACACACACATGGAGTTACACACACATATCGACTCTCACACACACATGGACTTACACACACACATATGGACTTACACACACATACATATGAACTAACACACACACATATGGACACACACAGTCACTTACTCACATGGAGCCATGCACACACATCGACTAACACACACACACATCGACTAACACACACACACATCGACTAACACACACAGCGACTGACACACACGTGGACTGATACGCACACTTGGACTTACACACACATCGACTGACACACAAACATCGACTTACACAGCAATCCCCGATGATGCCACAGCTAGAGCAATTTTCTCTCTCTGACGAGCCTTAGCGAGGAGCAGTTTGAAAACAAAAGTCTTCCCAGTACTGGCAGGTGCATCAAGGACAAAAAAGGACTCGATTTGTAGTCTCAATGTCTTCCAAGATTTTCATATAGGCTTCTATTTGTGCATCTATGAGCTTTGGTTAATTATCCTAAATCAATTTAAGAAGCTGTAAAGCATAATAGTATATTTAATGTAGGATCTCTTGAGCAAGGGCATGCAGGTTGTCCCTGTAGGGTGTTGGTAGTCCCATAGACGTGAGGTCTTTTCCACCAATGGAGTGCAGTTTGTCCTGAAGGAGGATGAGGGCCGGTTTGAAGATGACATCAGAAAAGTTGATGTCGAGGTTTGTATTTTCTCATTGAGCTCCGTGGAGGATGTCCTCACTAATGCCCTCTTTATATTTTTGCCAGAGTCCCATGGGGTTAGATGGTCTGCAAACTTAATGATTTATGCAGAAGAGCAATGTCAGTTGGAAAGGGGACTGAGCAACATAAGCTTCTGTCATAGCATTATGAAGAGGGTGATCATGCACAATAATTGCACGAAGATTGCAAGCTTCCCTGTATGTTTGACAGACAACTCCGTCCACTGTTTAGAGGTCTGGGAAAGATTTGTGCCCTTTGGCAACATAGAGAAGCATTGGGAGAAAGTAGCACTGCTAATTGTTGGGATTAACTGTGTAGACTCGTCCTGAGGCATCAGATTCACCGTCAGCTGCACGTCGCTTCCATTTTTTTTAACAGTCCATGTATCGTCGGAGGAACTTAATGGTAGAGCAGGTTGGCAGCAAATGGGTCACTTGGGCACAAAACAAAGAACGCCATAAGGGTGGCATCTTGTGAAGCCAGGGCCTATTGTTGGGCATTTCCTTTGGTGACGTAGATGCGTTGACCATTTTGGAGGTGAAGTGCCAAATGCACGACTGTGGGGGAACGGTCATGGATGGAGAAACCAAGAATTCAGCAAATGGCATCGTTGTTGCTGATGTATGTTCCTTGGAAAAAAAGTTTGAGCTCATGCACACTTTGCCCCTCTGTTTTGTAAGGCAAAAACAGCCATGTGAGACCCTTTGTTGATGTATTGGCAAACATTTTAATGGCTTTTTGTAGAATTGCAGAATTTCACATTAAAGTGTGCCTGGAAGATCTTGCACAGAAGAGGGCAGTAGGGAACGATCCACCGGTTGTCAACCTTAATTAGCGAGTTAGTGGCAGGTCTGAGCGTTGTTTGAAATCCACCATGCTTAGTATTTCTGTGACGATATAGAGGATAGCCATCATGGGCCGACTGAGTGTCAGTAGTTCCGTGGATACCTCTTGGTACACCTGTGGCCTTGCATACATGGCGCATTTGGATAGAACTGGCCACATGGGCCATGGACCATTTGGTTGCAGACCACATAGAAAAAGGGCAGGGTCTTGATGGGGTGAGGTAGCTCAGCACTGATAAATGTGTCAATGTTACTTGCATGAATTGTTTCCCTCATCCATAGTGAAATGTGAGCATGAGGAAGACGACGTTTTTGTCACCCAATGGTGTGCAAGTTACTGCTTGTCTATCCAAAGACGCCGCCTTCGTTGGTCGTAATAAGCATCATGAGGTCATAAACTTTGAGTTTTAAGACCCTCGCTAAGATGTCATGTCTGTCTGGTGGCTTTTCGTTTGGATAAAGGTAAATCTGTATCTCCTTTCATTTGGGATTGCAAGTGAAGGTGATGATGAGATGGGGCATGGCATATTGGCGGATGTACGTCATGGCATCCTGAGTCTTCTCATGCATGTATCTTGGTGGAGCTTTGAAGGATGAAGGCAAAATAACTAATCAGCCCACATTGTGACCGTTTGCATCTCCTTCGGGCATTGATGGCGTCCCAGAGATGAGCATACTGTTCACACGCAGGCGGTTTTGATTCAGTTGAATGCAAAGAAGGCGCTCACTCTCAATGTTGGCATACTCATCGACAATATACTGGTGAAAGAGGTTGGTGCACCATAATATGTGGTTTCCTCCTCTGTCCATAATCACGAAGGAATATAAGTTGTTTTAGAGGATGTCCTGCAGCTTTGTAATTGGAGGAATCTTGACGTGGTACCCATCTTGGCCTTGCGACAGGAAAATGTGTTATTGTAGGGGATCGTATGCTCTGTTAGTGTCAGGAAATCGTGCGATGGTGTATTCTTGGTATGGAAGAACAATGTCTCTCTCACAATGTTTCTCACCCACCGTAAGAAAGTCAACAATATTTGAGGCATTGAACCTCCCTGCATGCCTCCCCGCTTTGGTGTAAAGTAAAGGTGCAGTACGGCAAAATTTAAATGGATGATTTTCCCACGAATGTAACAAAACGATCGACTAAATGCAATGGGCTGTAGCTAAGAATGTCCAACGTATTTAGCAGTATAACATATTAATCAGCATTGCAGTATGTGAGCAATCGAAACAATAGAAATGCATTGAAGAAATAAGCTGAAATTAGTGTACATTAAAGAGCAGCAGTACGCACAGGTAAGTTGAGAAGCAGGCTACAGTCTAGATTATAGACTGCCAGTACGCCGACTCAATGACATAAGCATTGCTACAGTCGACATAAAAAGCTGGCAATACGGGCAGCAGCTGAAAAAGCAGAATACAGTCGACATGAAAGGCTGGCAGTACATTGAGTGAGGTAAAGAAGCAGGCAACAGATTATAGACTGGCATACACTCATAATGACCAAAAGCAAAATTAGCAGTGTTGTTAATAGAGTGGCAGTGCACTGACGCTAATTAATCAGCAGACAGCAGGCCACAGCATAGACTGGCAGTACACCATCGCAGCGTCATAAAAACACACCTACAAAATTAAATATTTATCAACCTAATAATGAAATATTAGTTTTCTGCACACAAACATTATTATTGTAATATTTGTCAACTTATTAGTTTCATAATAGTAAACAATGAACCCGAGGTCTTAGCGAAAGATTCAATAAAATTGTACTTTACATTGCCGTGGTGAGGCCTAGTCCCGTGCAGAGCCCGCGGCCTCACCTAGATTGCCCAGCCAGAGGAGGTGACACATTGCCAGGCTGGGGGCTGGGCCGCTCTCCCCACCCGCGCTACAATAATGCTATGTAAGTGCTATAATATTAATATCTATGGACTTCATATCAGTAACTGCACGCATTGGGGTGGGGGGGGGGGAGAAGAGGACATAAGACTGCGTTGTGTGTATATTTTTTAAGCACTGTTAACGCAAAATTAAAAATTTTAGCGATCGTGTGTGCATTGCTAGGGGCAACTCCTGTCAGCGTTTCGCGCATGCGCAATTGCGTGCTTTGTACCGCAGCGGGCGGCATAGCTATATAAATATATTAAGAGAAATTGCAAAAACGCTATTTTAACCAATTTAAAGGTGACGGACGGGAAAATGGAATAGTGCTTGCCCACCGTGGGGCTTACGGCGTGGTAACTGCCAATTTTTTTACGTAAACCCCACCGTTTGAGAGACAAATACCTCGCAAGCGCGCATGCGCAGACAGACGGACAGACCGACGGACAGACAAAAAATTACTGTTATAGGTTAGATAGATATCCTGCTATTTAAAAGAATAAAGAAATGTGTACATATAATATTTAATGTTACATCCATTACTTTTTCGATAATGTCAAGTACAAAAGTTTCTTGGCAAGATACAAAAGTATATTGACAATTCTATTTCATTCAGAATTCACAAGCAGTACGGCTGTGATCTGCTGCTTCCATCCTCCACGTTCCTCTCTGTTCAATGAGCAGCAAAGTGAACAGAAAGGAAAGAGTGATCGGCGGGATATCCCGTACTCTACTTGTGGTCAGTTCGCTATCAGATTGGGATGAAGTACTCGGGATTTGGTTGGATAGTTAGAGCTAGGGTTAGTGGAAGCACAACTAGTAGTGGCAAATGTCTTAGCATCATTGGGAAGACGAGTATTTGTGGCCTTGTGTGCTAGGGTTAAGGTCAGCGTGAGGGCTTCCACTAGCATAATTTGTTGGCTGGTTGTTTTTGGTTGGAGTTAACAAGAAGCCCAGTACTAGTGGCTGTAGGGCTAGTTGGTCAGGGATAGTGGAAGGGTTGGCTTCGTTTGGCTCATACATTCTACCCTCAAATCATTTACCTCACCTTCCCATTGATGCAAACTCATCGCCTTTCCAGTTTTTGGCCACACATTGCTGACTTTCTTCATCAGACACTCTCCTTGTTGTTGTCTCCTTGCTGCCGTCCTGTTGCTAGGCCTCGGTGGTGCACCTGTTGAAGACAGTGCGGCTGCTGCGCCTGTTGCGGTTGCTGCAGAAGCTGGACCGCTACTCTCAGTACAGCGCCGTGGTGCTCACCATGCTCATGTCTATGTTTGCGCTACTCGCTCACTGGATGGCCTGCATCTGGTTCGTCATCGGCTGCCAGGAGATGAAGGCTCCCCACCCCGTCAACTGGGACATCGGTGGGTGGTTGATTACCTATAGATGGGACTATACTTTTGGCTGGTGTGAATATCAGGAAATGAATAGCTTTATATTTTGGTGTTGGAATATAGAGCTAATGAAAGTGGACTGGATTCAAAATTATGAACTAAAGAGGCAAACGAGAGGTTTAGTACTTTTGAAACATTTTAACTTGATTTTGAAAATCAACATCCAATATTCCTCAAGAAGAAAGTTTATGATCAGTATGTCATGCCTGCTCTGACACATGGATCACAAATGTGGACATTGGCGATGAAAATAAAACAAAAACTGTAAGTGCACAAGGAAGCATGGAGAGATGCATACTTATACGTGCATTGAGATCCATAATTAGGAACACATGCATTACAGAACATAGTCAGGTTAACCACATCAGTGTAAAGCTGCTTAAAAAAGTAAGTGAGATGATGACTGATGGATGCCACATCTTAGCCCGCAAGCCTATAACACCTGTTACACACGTTGGTCACCCATCCAAGTATGATCCAGGCTCAAATCTGCATAGGTTCCGAGATCTTACGAAATTGGGTAAAATCCAGGTGATTTGATGATCGATCAGGTATGTGTATCTTTATATTTTCACCTCACATTTGGTGAGTGACGAGTGTTTTGTTGAGTGGTGCATTCAACTTTTTGTTGTGCACTGTAGCAAACTCCTGACACTCCATGCAGCAAGCCACATCCTTAGACAAACAACACTCGCTGCACAATAACCAGGGCAGCCACCACTGTGCCCTGCATGTAAAGTGGCACATTTAAAGGCAGGAAACTCCATGCGTGTGGAGTTGTGTTCGTATTGTAAAGACCAGGAAAGGCACCGGGCAGAGATGATCTCCCAAACGAAATGCTAAGGGAGGGTGGCGTTTGTGCACAGACTGCCCTACATGACATCATAGCAACAGTCTGGACCACTGGACGAGTTCCGCAGGATTTAAGAAGGGGGACCACACAGACTGTACCAACTACAGGGGCATCTCACAGTGTGCCGGGAAAGGTCCTGCCAAGGATTATTCAACATCGCCTTGCTAGGCATGCTGAGGAGAGGCTTGCGGAGCCCCAATGCGGTTTCAGGAAAAGGCGGTCCTGCATAGATGCCATATTTTCTGTCCGTCTGCTACAGCAGAGGTGTAGAGAATTCCAACAAGACCTACATCTCTGCTTTATTGACCTGGTCAAGGCCTATGATACCATCAGTGGGCCTGGGCTCTGGGTTGTTCTTCGTGCTTTCGGAGTTCCTGACCCTCTGCTCACGATCATTAAAGACCTTCATGATGGTGAGCGGGCCCGGGTAAAACTACATGGCCGGGAGTCAGAGCCATTCCCTTTACACCTTGGGGTGCGACAGGGATGTCCTCTGGCTCCCACATGATTTAACATCTATTTTCACCACGTAGTTCATGAAGCGTTCAATAACTGTACCGGGGAAATTTTCATTTGGTACAGATATAATGGTAGGCTGATCGATGCCTGGATGCGGTCAAGGGATGGTTCCCTATTGGTCAACGACGTTATGTATGGTGATGATTTGGTAATTGCTGCTCATTCAGAGGAGGAGTTAGAGACGCTTCTGCTAAAACTGGAGTGTGCCACTAAGAGGTTGTGCCTTACCATCAGCCCCACCAAAACTAGCACCTGCCTGGGTATTTTGTACCATAGCACACTCCACCCCCACAACTCCCAATCGGTGATTGGGCAGTTGTGGAGAGAGTGGAGAGTTTCCCATACCTGGGCAGTGTGCTCATGACCGGCTCCAGTTTGGCAGCGGAGGTCTCACTCCGAATCAGTCGAGTGGCAATATCTTTTCATCGGTTGCGTAACGCTGTGTGGAAGCTACCTGGTCTGTCGCTCCGCACGAAGCTTCAGGTCTTCTCGACCACAGTCATTCCCTCCCTTCTCTACGATTGCGAAACGTGGACCCCCCTAATGGAGCATCTTTGCCGGTAAGAAACATTTAGGCTGGCCTGCCTACGATCCATCCTGGGTTTAACCAGGCTGGATTGTGTGAGAAGCTCACAAATCCTTGAAAGATCTGGGCAAAAGTTCCATCGGTGAGCTCCTCCGGCAGGCAAGGCTGCGTTGGCTGGGTCATTTGGCCCGCATGCCCAGCCACTGCATGCCTAAACAGCTTTTGTTTGGCCGGATCGAGGGGGCTAAACGGGCACAGCACGGGCTAGAGAAGAGATGGAGTGATGTGGTACAGAAGGACGTGGAGCTGAGTGGACTTGCCAATGACTGGTACCAGCGGTGTCAAGATCGGCCTCAGTGGAGGAGGCTCGTGAAGGACACTATTGGGAAGTTGGAGACAGTTGCCCTCCAACAACAATGGAGGGCGGAGGAGCAACGCTCACAACAACGAGCGGAGCGCCGGGTGGCTAAAGCACAGCAAGTTGGCACAGTAGGGGGCACAGGTGGTCATCTCAGTCATCTCAGGCAGTCAACCCGTGAAACCTGGGTCTGCCCTGTGACCTCCTGCTAGCGGGCGTTCGACATTTCACGTGGCCTCAAGGTGCACATGGCCTGGCACAAGCGTCGTGGTGGCATCAACGCCACTTCGTGGCGAATGGCGGTTTTTGTTGTTGTATTGTAACGATGGACTTTATAGGAAGAGCTGTAAAGTGGGCAGCCCCTTGCCAGATTTGGCAGCACGACAGTGAACTGACTGGAGCCCTTGGGCGACGGTGACAAGAAGTGTCAGGGTCGGTCTCAAGGGGATGTGCCAATTTTCTCATAATTGGGTCTGCCGGCTACTTGGCACCAGAAGTGTGCCGGTGGTTTTGTCACATCAGTGAGAAACGAGGGCTGCTGAAACGGGTCCGACGAGCTGTTTTCGTTAATAAAATAGTTGTCTTGAGCATGAATACAAAGACACTTTGCAATAGCCTCAGAAGAAAATTGGAAATAACCAGGCAGGCTCATGCTATGCATGTCATTTTGCGTGATATAATTTTGCACTTGAGAAAAGTACGCACTTTAATTTTCCCTGCGATCAAAAAAATCTAAAATAATTATTTTCAGTGCTTTCTCAATCCGCTGCTGGATAAAGGCTTTCCAACACTACGGGCATTTATTGGAATGTAATAGTTTACCTGGATAATGCCTCGAGTTGGAACGTGTTGGTTAACAGCGTGGTCAGGGTGTCCAGTGACACACATATTTCACCACACTGCTCTGATGTTACCTGTGGCCAGGATTCGAACTCAGATCATTGGGTTCGTAGCACAGCGCATCAACCACTGTGCTGCCACTCCACCCTGTAGAGTGGAATCATTAAAAATGTGCTGAATATATTATTTCGTGCCTCACTTAGACTATCTACTTTAATATGTAATTACATTTCTTCTGTGATCATCTCACTTTTCACTATTACGGAAAAATGTTGTATGCAGGGTGATCAATGAATCAAAGGAGAAACGTGCATACGTAGAAGGATCAGATGCAGGAGAGAGGGCAGTCAGAAGCAAAGGGTAGAGTGTGGTTGTAAAGCATTGTCCCATTAGCCTAATGAACCAATTGAAATTCAATGACATGCTTTTCTCTAACATAATTAGCATTGGTGAAATACAGTGAAAGATTGTTTAAAACAAATAATCGGAATTGTACTTTACTCCGCTGTTTTTACGTACACCACATTTTGGTGGAGGGGTTGCTTTGCGACTATTTTCCTCTGACCAAACCACCTTGGATGTCCCCAATCTCCTCATATCTCAGAGGTTGAGCAGGATTTGGCCTTTTGATCACTAGGATGGGAAATTACCAGCAATAGATGCTCATATCTATCTGTACAGAGCTGTAAGTGCAACACCTTTGCAGGCATGGTGAGTTTTCTCCGGTTGATTTGGTTTCCTACTTAGTCAAGCCCAACACTCATTCATGGAATTGGCCAATGGTCATAATACTTGACCCTCCTGAAAAGGAATCTTAAGACTCACTGACGGTGATATTATGATTGCTAGTTTTGTATTTATAATAATTATCATTAATGAGTGGTGCATTGCTGTACAGAAGCTGATGCTTGTCAAGACAGATCAACGCTAGGTAACGGATGGTCATGAACCCCAAGAGCCTACGATTATAGCGTTGTTGCTTCATCGTGCTCTCAGCCAATTGCTTCCCCTCCACCCTAAAGAATGCCAATTGTTTCTGCATGCCATTTGGCATGCCCCACCAACCAGACAATTCCACTAGAAATGCATCTGTCCCCTCGAGGGAGTGTAAAAAAAACAGAAATGGTCTCCTGCTATAATGTTCCGATATTCGCCGCGGTTTATAATCATGGAGTGATTTCCAGGAGTCAGTAGGTGGGTAGAAAATGCCGCAAGGCTGCCGGACGGAATGGCAGTCACCATTGTGAGCGTGACCATGGCAGATGGATGGCTGTGCCCCTGCTGTGCAGGTGGATTATTTTCACCAGAAGCTATTCGTGTGGTGCTTAAACCCGACACATGCACACCACTTTCGAAGTCTGCCTTCAGTTTAATTTATGCGACACACAGATAGATAAATACATTCCCTTTTCCGTGATATTGGAATTAGTTGTGAGCATCTGTCTTTTGTTATGTAACGGTATAGCATGTTCTATTTGCCACACTGTGATACTGTATATAGTATCATTCAAATAAACAAGCCAGGCAAGTTACTATCATCACCATCAGCCGTGATCAATGGCTGATGATGATGATGAAGGTCTCCCCAAGCCATCGCCATTGCTGAAACTAAATAATATTCATGCCACCATCCTGCACAGGTCTATCAAACCAATGTTTGCCACGAGTGATTTTTTATGGAAATTAAATCCTCGATCAGTTCAATCTCCTTACCAATGTTTGGCCATTGTACATGTGCTCTTGGGCAGTGTCATGTTACACAAGAGAGTCATCCATGAACACAGTGGGGAGGGCTCAAATCAAATTTAGTAAAGTTTAAAAAATCTAATTATTAAGTGCTGCCTTGGCAGGACTATGGGTGATGAAATAATATG